TGATTACAAAGTTGGTTCCAGTGCTGATTTAGGTGATGTGAATCAAATGCACACATTTCAGATTTTTGTACAAAAAAGTGTGTTAAAAAAAATCTATTTTCCTTTGTCTTTACATTTATGCAGTTTGTGTTGCTCCATCACATTACGTCCCAGTTTAAGTGGCGAGAATCTTTTTACACGGTACTGTTTATGTATGAAGTCACAACAAGTTCAGATTAATAAATGTTTGCCTGGAACTGATTTGTCACTAATCTTTTTCCAATGATAAGAAACCCAAACAGTTGTAAACTGTGCATCACTGTCACCGCCACAACATTGTACTTCTGAAGCTCAAACAGCTTCCTGGTGTTTTTTTGTTTTTTTTTTCACACTCGCAACATAACAAAAATGAGTGAAACCAGATTTCTGGTGAGGCTAGAGCGCTCGAGCAAAGTGCAAAATCTCTGCCGCATGCCTTGTTGTGGTATTTTGTAGACACTACACACAGAAGACACATATGCACAGATCCAAGAAGGGACCTCCTACAGTCTCATCCACCCTTGAAGTTTTTCACACACCCCCGGCATTCACCGCTGCAAGAAAACATCAAAACGCCTCACATTTCTTCCTCTCCTCCAACCTGTGTAGAAAGACAAACGAACGAGCAGAAAACTTTTCACGTCAGCCTGGAGTGTTGGTTCTGAGGGCCTGCGTACATGTAGGTTTACATGAGATAAAGACACAAAGGATTTTCTTTTTTAAAAAAAAAAAAAAACAGATCAGTTTGAAAGGATGGTGGCAAACGCACTGATCATGCTGATGATAAAGATGGCAGCAGCTTCCATGCCTGGCTCCGAGATGGACCTTAAACGCGGATATGGAGCTGGTTCTCCAGAACTGATCCAGAACTCGTGCCACTCGGTGGGATTTGGAATCAGAGCGATTCCTCCCAATATTTCCAGCAACACCTGGTGCCTGTGAGTAAACATACGCACACTCTTAAGAGCACACATGGATGCAACTACTAATTTTGGACATAATCTGTTGTCTGCGTGTCGTAATGGAGCTAAAAGGCTTCATTTTCAAGAAGAGCAATGCAAAAAAGAAAAAAAAAGATTTAGGGTATTGAGTAGCTCTTTGCGCCCTTGACTCTGATTTAATGTGTTAATGAGTTTTCCTCTTTGGAAACATCAATGTGATTGATCAACATCTTTCTCAGCTCAATTAGTTTTCTAAAATAAAGCAGCATCCATTTCCAGTTTCCATCTTCAGTTTTTTTTTTTTCTTGCAATAACTGCCAGAAAACATCTTCATGTTGTGCAGTGTTAGGATTTTTTTTTAAGCATCTGCTTTAAATATTCATTGTTGGTTTCAGTGAAAAACATTGTCACACTTCAAGTGTTTCTAAAGCATCTCAACCAACATTTGGAAAAGACACTCTACAACAAATTCTGCTTGCAGTTTATTCGATAAACCAAACTAAAGCGGAGTGTGACTGGATGGAAAAAAGAAGAGTTTCTCAAAATTAAAATATGGAACATGTGACATGTATTTGTATCTATCCATCCTCCTTGTGAATCAACACTTTGCAGAACCACTTTCTCTGCAATTACAGATGCAACTCTATTTGCACATCTACAGACTGAATACAGCAAAATAGCTCAAACTCAGCCAGGCTGGTTGGAGTGTCTAGTCATCAGCTTTCAACTATTGCCACAGATTCCAAGTTGGACTTTACACTACAGGAACACAAAATCTTAGCTTTAGAAACCAGACCAAAAATATGTTTATTTACTTGACATAAGACAAAACTAATTTACAAGTAACTTTTCGGCAAGACATAGGAGTTATAAGTAAATTAATGTTCTAAAAACATACTTGTTCCACTGACAAATTATTTCTCTTATTACATTGAAAAAATGTCACCTTATAAGTGAAATAATCAGCTAGAGGAGCTATTACTTTTCATCAATATTAAGGAATTATTTACTTAAAAGAAGTTCCTACATCTTGCTGAAAAGTTACTGAACAGATCTAGTTTTTGCAGTGCAGGTCTGAATCATTCCGACACGGATATGCATAAATATAAACCATTTCTTTCTCTTAAGTCTTTCACAAATTTGAGCAAGTTTTCTTCCAGGATTGTATATACAGGATTATATTTACTAATTAATCTTCCCATCAAGCTAGAAATTGAGCTTCTTATATCTTACTAAAGGATCGTTTATGTCGTTCTTACAGAAATGTCTGATTTGGATTTTCCCACCTGAGCTGTGAATCTCTGCAGCTCCTCCAGTGTTAACACGTCTGCACAAATCTCGGAGGCCTTTACAGATTAGATTTATCCATATGAATCTTTAATTGTATTTATTTTATTTAGGTTTTAAAAAGTTAACAGCAACACTTTTCAGGTTTTTATTTACAAAAAATTTTTTTAAACCATACATAATTTTCCTTCTGCTCCAGATCTATCACATAAAATCTCATCAAAATACAGTGAAGTTGATGATTGTAATGCGACATGTAAAAAAAAGCATGTATGTAATGCAATAAACCCATAAGGTATTTTCAACAGACATATGAAAAGTTTGCCCTCAAGCTGCACAATGATCAAAACTCCAGTTGCTTTTTATATCGACTAAAACTCATATTGTTCTTTTGAACAAGTGAAAACCTCTCGAGACACTTTGTATAAAACGACACACTCCCTTCACCATCGTCTCATCATTAAATATTGAAGGATTATGCAATATTTACACACGCCCATCTTTTCTACGTGCATATTCATTTAGATTCATCCAAACCTCACTGCTTTCCTTTGGCTAAATCTTGTACTGAACGTTCCAGAGCTGGTCTAATTAAACATTAACTGAATCAAGGATTACATGCAACACTTGTTTGACCTGCTACAGCACCGCTGGGCAGCATTCACCGCAAATAAACACTTAAGTCTAAAACCATTGTGTCACTGCGTTTGCTGCTTTACCTCCTGGCGTTTCTCACTGCATGCCTGGATGCAATGCGACTTTGTATGTTTCAGCTATCAGAGATCAGGCAGCAAAAACCATGCGATGTTGGTACAACGAGGAGGAGGGTGACGATGAGGGAGGTCTGCTTATTATCTGCTTCCTTGCACCTGTGTCCAGACAACTACATTTTTAACGATGCCTGCCAAAATACTTCGAGAGGACGGCAATATTTAGCTTACCTTGTCATGTGGCTTTAAAGAGAGACAACAATTAACTTGCCATACATCTCAATATTTATCAGATTTATCCCTCTACGTTTTAAAGAACTTCCACTATTTTGGTTGTTTTTAGTTTATGGCCAAGCCTTTTTTCTCAGCTAGTAGTCCGGTAGACTCAGTTTTATTGGGAACCAAAACTGCAACATCCGTTACATTTTCCGCTGGTGTGGTTCGCTTTCACACTGACTCATGTCAAACGGACCAAACCTTTTCAAAAGCCTGTTCACCTCCTCGCCTGTGGTGGCGCTGCACCAAGAACCACTGAAGTAAAATACATGTAAACCTCAGAAGACGACATGAGCGCGCAACTTCCTTCTTTGAAAATGACAAAAATGTCAGATATTGGCAAGTGCGCTTCTCTTTTTTTTTTTTTTGGTTCCATTTACTCAGAATGCCCTGCACTGAAGTCCGCTTCCTGTTTTTGGAGCGGTCTCTGGTCTGTTTGGCATTTACATGCGTTCGGGCTGCACCAGAGTTCACTTCAACCGAACTGAGACCTGGGATTTCAGGTGAACAAGAGTTCACTTTGTGGTCCGCGTCAGAGTTTTGGAAAAAAAAAAAAAAAAAAAAAATCAGAAACATTTATTATAAATAAAGTTCAAGGGGTGTGAATGATTTTCTAAATCACTAGTAGCAGTTCTAGCTAAAACAGACAACAGACAATTAGAATAGAGAAAGCAGGATTACATTGAACATTTATCCAAATGTTAATACGGATGTTTGTGTTTAAATTTGAGCTTTTTTGTACAATTGTATCCTTGTTAAGATTAACGTAACAACATTTCAAACTTACTGTATCTGTAAGGACACAGATACAGTTGTCCTTACAGACAATTATCTGTCTATAAGGACAGATAATTGGTATCTGTGTCCTTACAGATACCAATTATCTGTAAGAACAGATAATTGGTATCCACCTCATATCTCATTCCTCAGGCTCTTCTCATGCAACTATTACTACACTCTTTGTTGGATCATGGTAATGTATATTGATTTTATCTTGTTTGAACTACAGGGCCTCAATAAGGAGGAGAGATACTGATGTGGCATACTGAGCACTTCTTCTGCACATCATGACAGAAGTCATTGTTTAGGTCAGGTTTCGTTGGCATGCAGCAAATGATGGAGAGCAGAACATCCATCCATCCATCCAGACTGCAAAAATACAGGGTTTTTTTGTCTAGTTTTTAGTGCAAATATCCTAGCACACTTGAAATTAGGCCTTCAACTAATGATTTTAGCAATTGACTAATCTATTAATTGGATCAAGAAATTGGCACATTTTGCTGATTTTTCATTTATGCCTTTCTTATACAATATTAGAAATATATTAAGACATGCAAATAAAGAATTCCGATCATTTTTAAAGTAAGAAAATAAACATTTAGTGCTTAAAAAGCAATAACATAGCATTCCTTAAGTGAATCTGAATCAGGTGAAGCTTGATGCCACTTGAGGGTTTTGTCTAAAACATATTTATAGAGAAAGGATGCTTTTATACAAAAACTAGCTTAATTACTGCTCTGAATATATTGTTTTTTTCAGTAGGCAGCATTTTCTTTTGAGTCTGAATACTTCAGTCACCGATTAATCAACTGCTAAATTAATCATTTCATAAATGTAATCATTTCAGCCCTACTTTAAAAAGAAAAAAAACAAATCAAAATTCCCGATAACTTTTCAGCAAGCTATAGGAGCTTAAGTCCATAATTCCTTGATACTGATGAAAAAGTACAAGATCCACCTGCAGATTATTTCACTTATGGGAAAAAATGCCTTGTTATAAGTGAAGTCACATGCAAGTAGAACTAGTACGTCCTAATTAATGTTAAGGAATTATTGACTTAAAACAAGCTCCTATTTCTAGAGAGATATTTGCACAACAAAATAGACCAAAAATACAAAGTCCATCTTTATGAAATAGATTTAATAAATAAATAAAAAAACAAACATAAAATAAATCTCACTTTGATTTCTCTCATTATTTTTTTCCAGTGGTGTGGCTAAAGGAAACAAAAAGTTTCGTTAGCAGAATTCAAACCACAAGCCTCTTACATCAAAACGATGCAGTCTTGTGTTTCACCCTTATAAAAAGAGAAAAAGTTAGGTTTTTTGACAGGGCAAGTCAAAGCTCGATCTAAAGGTTTGGAGAAAAAAAAAACAAACATAAAATAAATCTCACTTTGATTTCTCTCATTATTTTTTTCCAGTGGTGTGGCTAAAGGAAACAAAAAGTTTCGTTAGCAGAATTCAAACCACAAGCCTCTTACATCAAAACGATGCAGTCTTGTGTTTCACCCTTATAAAAAGAGAAAAAGTTAGGTTTTTTGACAGGGCAAGTCAAAGCTCGATCTAAAGGTTTGGAGAAAAAAAAAACAAACAT